GCGCCTCGCTCTAACCCAGGCCCCACTCCTCTTCCAGAGCCGGGGATAGATTAACCCCCCCACACACACACACACACCTACTTTCCAGAGCTCGTCCTCTGCCTGTAAACACATGAGTCATGGCTGCAGAGAGCAGGGCTGTCCCCAGCCCCCCATATCTCCTTACCAAGCTCCCCCCCCCCCGTGCCTGCCCCCCCAGCCTCTCCCCATCCCCCGTCCCCGCACTGCCTGGCTCCCGGCCTCCTAGCAGAGCTTGGTGTGGGGCTGGTTGTGTTGACATGCTTCTGGGAATCCCACCCCCACATCAGGGCAGCTGGGAATCCCCCCCCCACACACACTGCTGGGAAGGCCGCCCTGGGGATCCATTAGTGAAGGCGTTGGCTCCCGGTCAACTGCAGGGCTGCTGGCAGTGCTGAGTATGTGGGTGTGTACGTGTGTGGGTGTGCATGTGGGTGTGGGTGTGTGCACATGTGGGTGGGTGGGTGACTGTGTGTGTTGCAAGTGTGCATGTGTGTGCGTGCATGAGTGTGTGTGCACGCACATGGATGTGTGTGTGTGTGCAGTCATGGGTGTGTGCATGCGTGGATTATGTGTGTGTGCAAGTGTGTGGGTGTGCGTGGATGTGTGCATGTGAATGCGCAAGTGTGTGTATGTGCATGTGCGCACGTGGGTGCATGCATGTGCATGTGTCCCTTTGTGTGTTCAAGTGTGCCTGCATGGGTGTGCATGTGTGGATGTGTGTGCGTGCTCATGGGTGTGTGCATGCATGTGTGGATGTGTATGCGTGCATGTGTGCGTGAGGATGTGTGTGCGAGTGTGTGCATGGGTGAGTGTCCACGTGCGAGAGCCAGATGACCCCATCCTTTCCACACTCGTCCCCCCATCCCTCCACACCAACCGCATGTCCCCCCCCACCCCCCGGGACTCCGGCGCTGCTGGGGGGGCGGGCGGCGCAGCTGGGGCCCGGATCGAATTGGCCTTTTCTCCGTTCCTTCTCCCACCTGGGCCGCTCCCGGCCTCCCGCCCAGCTCCTGGCCCTGGTGAGCTTCACCACAAGGGCCGCGG